TGAAAGCAAAAGTGGGGGACAATCTGGAGATAGCTCTTCTCATTTCCTCTTGGAGTGACCCACCCTGTTCACTTGGTGGGCTGGTCTCTGTACTCAGTTGTGAGTCTGTGAGTCGGGACAGTTACTGTGCCTAGATGAAACCAAACCAAAAGGGGAAACTGACACAGTTTCCTGGGAGGAAAGGGTATCTATAGACTATAAAAGCTTTGTTTGGAATTTCCACTATTGACCCTGGGTGAAGATACATGTTGTCTTCAACCTGTAAGTATCCAAAGTATGGTCAATAGTTCCTATTGAAATTCTTCAACTGAGGCTTGGCTTGGATGGTACTTTTGACACCAAAAGTCCGTCGTGTCCAGCAAAAAGGGCCTGCTCACATCAACAGGAGAGTCTATTTATCCAGGGTTTAAAGATTGAGAGCCATTGACTCTTGGCCTCATCTCTTTCTGTTATTCTCATCTGGAATTATCCATTTTGCTCAAATTGATATGTTTAATCTGACTTTATTTTCTATCACTTTAAATTTAGAGGTAAGAAAAATCAGGACATTTTAGTTAGAATTAACGCAAAGAGCTGAAATCCTTACCCTGTCACTTTCTGTTGATGAACTGGCATTATTTTGTTTTATATATCCTTTTTTTGTGCTGTTGTAGTTCTCACTAAGTTCCTTGAGCATCCTTATAACTATTGCTTTGAACTCTATTATCTGTTAAATTGCTTGTCTCTACTTCATTTAGCATTTTTTTCTGGAGAGTTCATTGGGGGCCTGTTTATTTGTCTTCCCATTTTGCCTGCCTCTTTGTGTTTATTTTTATGTATTAGATATATCTGCTATGACTCCCAGTCTTCATGGGGCATTGGGTATCCTGTGGGACCCAGTGATACGGTCTCCTTGATCACCTGAGTTATGTACTCCAAGAATGTCTCTTATATGGGTTATGTGGGTCCTCCTATTGCAATTGAGAATAGATTGCTATTGACCCTGCTGATGTATGGGATCAACCCTCAGGCTGGCTGACTGCAAGGCCCAACCCCAACCATGGTGTGCGAACTGCTGTGAGGTGCTGACCACATGAAGTGCAATTTGCTTCACCAGGATCTGGTGCCTGCTGAGATCTCCCTTTGCATATGCTGCTTGTAAGGCTTATTGGATCCTGCTCTGTTGTTGTCTGAAGCTGGCCACTGGGTGTGTTGGCTCTGGGCCTCCTTGGAGGGACTCTGGTGTAAGCCAATATCAGATGCTGCCCATGTCTGGCCCTTGGCAACCTGTTTGGAGCTACAAGTGATCCTCAGTTCATGGTTGCCTCTTCTGGGCTTGAGTGACTGTGAGAAGGACCAAGGTGTGCTCCAATGCTGGCTTTTTCCAGCAGCAAAAGTGCCAAGGCACCCAAAGATCCACCTTCACCTGCATCCACCTGCCAGCTGCCTAACAGGCTCAGTCACTGAAAGAACATCTGGTGAAGTCAAGAGGATGGGGCTAGTGGATCTACTGTAAGGAGGAGGTGCCAGACAGACTTTAGGAAAGAGGGTGGATGTGGCCCCGACCCAGAGCCACATGACTCACTCTGTCCCAGATTTTCCCCTGACCTTGGCAGCGTGGAATCACCAGGAATAGGACAGATGGGGCCTCCAGAACCCAGATATTGGGTCAGCCCGAAGCCAGGATTGTGGTTCTATGAGATCTCCTGTGAGAAGGAAGTGTCAGTCAGGTTCATGAGAAAGCCGGGGTAATGGCCCCACTGCAAAGCCAAACGACTCAGTCACTGACAGCCCCTGAGTCTACCCAGACCTCTGCACCCTGGCCCAGGCAGCGGACTCCTCAGCAGGGTATGAGCTCCACAGGGGAGAGCGAGAGGGTGTCCAGAGGTGAGGCTATTGCTTTCCTCCAGGCTGATGCCACAAGGAGGGGAACATTCCACCCAAGAAAGGTGGTGTCTGCAGTGTGGGAGAGGGACTCAGCACAGGGCTCCTGGTGGCAGTTCCCCACCCCCCGTCCCCTCCCCGAACCACAGAGCTGAGACTCTACTCAGGCGGCTCTACTCTGCTTGGCTCTCCCTCCACCAAAGCCCAGGGCGAGTGGCTATGAATGAAATTTTGTGTGTTGGCCCTTTAAGAGAGTACTTATGTCTCCAGCAGACTCCGTCTCTCTCTGGTGGACAGAAATCGCACTGCTTTTCACAGCCAAGTGTCATGTGGGTGCCTTTCCTGGCTCTGGGCTCTGGGCTGAGGAGCCCAGCTTGAGGTTTAGGCCCGATGCTCCTCAGGGGGAACCCCCTCAGCTGACACATCTCTTTAACCTCAGCGGCGCCTGCAAAGCAAGCCCTTTTGTGTCTCTGCCCTTCCTACTAGCTTTGAGGTGGCTTTTTCTGTAAATTTTGGTAATAAGACTCCTCTTCAACTAGCCTGCAGTCAGTCACTCAGGATGATTGTTCTTTAATTTAGTTGTTAGTCCAGTTTGGTCCTGGGAGCAGGTAGATGAGTGTAGCTTACACCTACTCTGTGGCCGACTTGAAATCCCCAATGACCTTGCATTTTAAGGGAGATTTTCTGAGTCTTGGTCTATCCCCTTTGGTTAAAAGGGGGTGGTAACAGTGGCAAGCTCATTGAGTAGATTTGAGGATTAGATATTGAATGCAAATTAGCCCAATTCTTAGCCCATAGTGAGTTCTCAATTGAAAGTAATAATAAATATTAGTTAAAATAAAAAACATTTTTAAAAATCATAGTTTTAATATATGGGATTTTAAAATTAATAATGAGGTAGATTTTTATGTTTAATGGAAGAATTCAAAAATAATATTTGAATTGATTATTATGTAAATGAATAAGAAGATTGGGTTAGGACAATAAAAGATAATCTGAGTAATTCAAATTACAATAAAGATGTCTTTTTTTGCAGTTTCTAAGTAATTTTATTCAGAATTTTGCTTTTGTTTCCTGAATCAATAAATACTATACAAAACAAAGTAAAAATGACTACTACTTTTTCTCCCCTGGTCCCTCCAGCGCCCCATTAGGGACAATCCACTGTGCCACCTAACCCAGGGGTTCTCCCTCCGGTTTGGTCAGCGAATGAGGCTGAGTGACGTCACAGCCTCCTGGAATCATTTTCAGAGGAACTCGGCTGCAGCGTGCGGAGCCTCCGGGGGTTTCGAGGTTGACTAGGTTAGGGAGGCGGACTAGTGTTCTTGGGAGAAGAGACGGCACCTGGGGCAAGAAAGAAAAGCGTATCTAAAATGTTCATGGTTCCTTCTATGCCTCAAAAAGTGACATTTATTCCAAGAAAAGAAAAAAGAAAAAGAGAAGATGTCCATCCCTTGGCTCCCTTCCCTCCCCCTCCTGCTCCTTCCCAGCCTCTGAAGGACCGAACCCTGGCTTGGGTGAGGTGGCAGGCCAGCCCCTCTCAGATGAGGTCAGCAACACTGAGGGACATCTCCTTAATGGAGGTGTTATAGAAGGTCTCCATGTCTCCAAGAATCCTCTTGTCTTCTTCTGTCACCATAGTAATCGCCACATCCTTACAGCTGAAACTACTTCTGTGGATGTAGTTTTCCTTGTTGGTGGGAAGGTCATAGCTCATGATGAAAGAAACCTGCTGCACACCAATGTCTCTGGCCAGCGAGTCAGTGGTAATCAGTGCTCTGCTAGAGCCAGAGCGGAGCTCCCTCATGGTGGCACCACTGTCCTTTTGGTCCATATCTCCATGCACAGAAGAGACAGTGAAGTCTTGGGCGTGCATCTTCTCAGCGAGCCAGCCAACCTGCCTTCAGGTGTTGACGAAGATGACGGCCTGGGCGAGGCTGAAGTTTTCGTCCTAGCCACACGGTACGCCCAGCTTCCGCCTCTCTCGTTCCACGTTGATGTGGAATTGGCAGATACTCTCTAAAGTCAATGCTTCCTTCTTGACAAGAATCCAAATGAGGTCCCTCGTGAACTTCTTGGTCACCTCAAGCACATCAGAAGGCACTGTAGCTAACAGCAGAGCCATCTGGGTGTCGCTGTTGAGCTTCTGGAATATGTCATAGATCTGGTCCTTGAGTCCACAGCTGAACATTTTCATCAGCTACATCCAGGACAAACATCCTGATGTATTTGGAGACAGGTGTCTGTGGTTAAGCATATGAAACGCATGGCCTGGGGTGCCCACGATGATATGAGAGCTTCCATCTGCAGCTTCTGTGCCTCAGCACGCATGTTGGTACCCCAAATGCTGGCATGGCAGGAGGCACCCATGTAATCTCCCCAAGCCCTGACTGCCTTCTGTATCTGCTGTGCCAGTCCTCTAGTGGGTGCCAGGACAAGGGCCTGGGTGGCATTTAAGTACAATACAACCTGTTGCAGAATCAATATGGCAAAAGCGGCTGTTTTTCCTGTCCCAGATTGGGCTTGAGTGATCACATCATAACCCTCGATACAAGGAAGAATGGCTCGCTGCCGGATGGCAGAGGGTTCTCGAAACCATAGGCGTAGATGCCACGGAGGAGGCATTCTGAGAGGTTCATGTCATCAGAGCTGGCAACAACCTCATTCCAGTGACTCTCGATGCCCCTTCAGGCTCCTTTCCACTAGGGCCACTGTCTCTGGACTGGGAATCCTAACTCGTAGCATGATCCTTAGAAACTGGCAATAAATATGTCTTTATTCAACAAATATTTAAAGGTCACACTTCATATTATTCATTATGCTATTGTAAGTTATGATAATAATGTGGAAAATGTTACACATAGACTCAATTTTCACAAGGTTAATGTTAAAACAAATAACATGCATTGAAATCCTGGAGAAATTTTGAGAAGTATAGAATAATTTTACATTTTTCAGAAGTATAGAATAGTTTTACGTTTAATTTGGTCTTAGAGAGGATCATGGAAAACTAATCAAAACATGAATGCTGTATTTTCCTTGAAAGGTAAGCAGTTTTTGATGAGCGTGATAGAAAAGGGAAAAGAAGAGAAGAAATACATTTCATATGGACGGCTGACATGCAAATGTAAGAAGGCATGGAGTACAAAATGTGTCAGGCAAATGGCGAGTAGTTTCATACAAGACCACTTGTGATGGCAAGTAGTTTGTAAGCACGGAAGAACGCGTGCGCAACCGGAGGTGATTATGGTAAGACAGGGTGGAGAGCACACAATGCAATGACAGATGCTGGGTTATGAATCTGCACACCTGCAACTCACACAATGTTATTAATTAATGTTACCTCTAAACATTCAGCTACGAAATTTAAAAATATTTTAAAAATAAAATAAAATTTGAGCAGCTAAAAAGAAAAAACACTGCACAGGAGGAAAGAGAAATTGCTGTGTGGTTCTGCAGGCAATAAGGGAGAAGCTGGAAGTTTCTGATGGAAGAAGGAGTATGTATTGTGCCCCAGTGTTAGGAAGAGGGCTCTGAAGGCAGCCTGGAGGGTGAATTCAGAGGAGATGTTAAGTTGTCTGTTTTGAGTTAAGACTTTTTACAAGCACCAATTTTGTAGGATAATATATATTTAATTAAATTTAATATGAGAATTTGCTTATAACTAGTTACCAGAATAAAAGCTGTATAATAGACAAAACTATATACAAAGGGAATTTAGATGAGTTCATCTTGTTTGGCAGGATGTGGGCACATTGCCAAATAAACGTCAGCAACCCCTCCCTGAAGGGAGGGCATTGATACCCTGTTGTGTTTACTGACTCCTAGAGCCCAGAACATTCATACTGGTGTTTTGTTCATGGGTCAGTCATCCTGCTATTTTCTTTTTTCTTTTTCTTTTATATATATAATCCTTATTATATTTTCTTCATTGCCCTTATACTGCCTTCCCCCTGGCAGACACCACCCTGTTGTCCACGTCTATGAACTGAGAGCAAAATAGACAGACTCATAGATGGAGGACAGATGGTAGCTAGTTGGGGTGGTGGGGGAGGTCAGGGGGTGGAGGGATTGAGCACGCTGCGCTTTTAATCCTGCGAACAGGATCAGTCAAGAATTCAGGGCCCTGGGAGGCAGAGGGAGGCGAGGTGAAGGACTCTGCTAGCATGTGGCGTTAGGCAAGTACTGTCGCCATAGTCCCTAGCGGGGGCCGAGGTGGGCACCCAGCCTGGACTGGGCCGAGGAGCCACGGCGCAGACGGAGTTGGGTCTCAGGGCCTGGCCGACGGAGGGGAGTCACACCCCCAATGGCGCACACCCCGACCGTGTGCCTTTTGGGCACGTTGTCGCCAATGGGAAATGGCTCGGGTCGCAGCTGGCACAGGTTGCAAGGGAAAATTAAATTTGTTTTTGAGGACGTCCCGGCACGGGTGGATTTTTACTTATGTAGCAGCTCCTGCCTTCTTCCTATCACCGAGGCTGATTTGCTGGCAGAAAATAGCTACCGAAAGACGCCCCTTCACGCTGGAAATTCCAGTCGTCTTCCAGGAATTGCAGTTGACAAAATGCAGGTGCACGAACAGCACTTCCCAGCCGCGTGGAAGTCAGCCGTGTGGGGCCGTGGGGTGGGGCTGCTTCCAGGGGCCCGTCAGGGGGAAGCGTCCCGCCTCGCCACCCGGTTTGTTCAAGAGCCCACCAAAGAGCCCAGGAAGAACCCCTTTCTTGGGAGCAAACGTGCTCCAGTCTCGGCGCCGGCTCCACTTCGAGCCGTGGAACTGCTCCCAGAGGTTGGAAACGCTGAAACCCCGCTTCTGCTTCAGAAGTTTCCAAGTATCCAGCACGTAAGACCCGCAGCAGGGCGCGGGGCGCGGGGCGCGGCGGCACGGCAAGTTCCCGGGCTTTTCACACAGTGCAGGCGACAGCCCCTCACAGCAAGTACTGTTTTCTCCTTCCTCCGCACGGGCAGGCCCTCACAGCAACTAGTGGAAGACGCGGGGAGGCCTCAGCGGGCCTGCCAGGCGCCCTGGGGGCAGGCGCGCGGGTCGGCGGGCCCGGACGCCGCTGTGCTGGCGCTGGGCTGGTCCTGCCGGCATGCGGAGGGCCAGTGGGGGTCTTCCTAAGGGAGTCACGTGAACTAGGGGCTCAGGTGCTGCCAAAAGCCAGCTTGGGCAGATTTGAATGTGTGACCTCCACCCGCATCTATCGTGGAAAGGCCTTACCAAGTTTCAGGCGGTGGATAGGACCTTCTAAAGGACAAACCTGCACGGAAGCACTGGGCACCGTCAGCCCCTGGTTCCCGGCGGCGCAGCCTCTGGTGTTCAGGTCCGGTCTAGTTACACCTGGGCCTGCGGGGCTGCTGCCAGCACAAAGGAACAATACAGCCTTTGTCCTTCCTCTTTGCCTCCCTCACGCACTGCACAGCAGCTGTACATTTATTTATAATCACGCGGCACGTCAGGGCACAGAGCGCCTGGAGTCTGGAGCACCCACTTACGGATAAAAAGCCAGTGCGGGCGGGGGCGGAAAAGGACGTGCGTGTGTGTGAAAGAACAGCCCAGCAGGAGGGAGATACACAGGGCGGTGGCAGGGGCAGCGGTGCCCAGAGAGGAGAGTGGGGGGCTGGGCATCAAAAGGCACATATGCCCATTCAAAAAGTAAATACAGTTAAAGATGCCATATGTTTGTAAGATAACAGGAGGTGGAGGAGGGCAAAGGGAGGTAAGCGGGGACTTGACTGTGGGCAATGGAAGCAGGATGCAGTGTGTGGATGATCTTTCGTGGAGTCGTACACTTGAAACCTGTATGGTCTTGTTAACCAGTGTTACCCCATTAAACTCAATTAAAATAACCAAATAAAAAAAATAAAGAATTAAGAATGTCAATGCTCTTATTTTATATGACTTTGTTGGTGAAATTTGGTAGAGTTAAGAGACTTGCTCATTGTCATACAGTCAGACACAGGTGACTTGGAGCTCTGAATCCAGGGAGTCTAAAGGAGAAACACACTCATGCTGTGATCTGTAAGCCAGTGTAACACCGGTGCAACTCCTAGAGCACAAGGCATTCTCCCCGTCACCGCCGCCGTGACCGTCAGCATCGCCCTTCATCGTCGTTGCTGACACACTGTTGCGGACAGACCACACAGGCCCACTTTGAAGGGCCACGTGCAACGAAAGCTGCTGGGACCTCACCGCAGCAGCCACAGTGCTCGATGGGATGTGAGTGGTACAATTTACCCGATGCTCTCACATTCCTGAATGGCTGCTGTCAAATTCACTTCATTAAGCAAGGTGTTTCTAGGCCTCCTTGTTTAAGGAGAATTCTGTATTCTCTTTAGTTTAGCTCCACAGGTTAAGTACTGAAAGAGGGACAAAAGTCTCAATTTTCTAAGATAGCAAAATGATCAAAGAGAGTCAGGAGTAGAAGAGCAGAGTGTCTAGGAGGCAGAATTCAGTGGAAAAAGATAAAAGGCGGTGAGGGTAAGGGTAGGGTGTGAATAACTGGGTATGAAACACGGCCATCCCTTTGGTAGGATGATCGATTGTGTGGGTTAGCCTGGGACTACCCCTGTTTTGCCGCTGAAAGTCTCATGTCTTTGGAAACTGTCGGTGCAAACAAACTGGGATGGTTGGTTCCCCAGGACACCTGAAGCCAGTGCAATGCCCATTCCTGAGAATCTCAGCTACACATGAACCCCCAAACATTTTCTTTTCTAAATTTGGGAATATGTAATTTTACAAATCTAACTTTGAACCCATCCCTGTCCTTGTTCAATTCTATCACAGGGTGCAAAATCTAACTGAGAATCTTTTTAGTGGGGCGGGGGGAAACAATGAGACCACTGCACTAAGCTCTCTGTAAACAGTCAATGAGCGGGACTTCAAGCTCTCCTACGGTAATGTGTTGTGTTGTGCCAGTACCCATAGGACCTCAGGAAGATTGTATAGAAATGAGATATTAAGAACCACTTCATAATAGAATCTACTGGAGAGCATAGCACAGCTTATTGGATGCTGGAGCCAGGTGGCAAGATCTAAAATCTTACTCTGCCACTTACTACACACTCTCTTGGAGACCACTGCCTCTATTTTTGTCAGTACTTCCACAAAGGAATCTTCAAAGGCAGCTCTTTGTCTACCTCCTCCTGGAAGAGCTCCAGGATCCACCCAATTTAACTCACTCTTACCTCAGGATTCTAGCAGTGGTTAAACTATTTTTATGGGAATTCATTGTTTTAAAATTATAGCATCACTTTATATGTCTTGTTTCTATCTCTCCAGTTGGAAATGCAGCTCTTGAAGGAAGAAATATTTCATATTTCATAGTTCTCTGCTGCTTCTTGCTGCACCCTGTCTCCTTATCATTCATTTTTCACTAATAAACAAATGTTGCTAAAAAGGGTTTTATTAAACTTAAATAAATTCTATAATTGTAATAAATATGCATAACTTAAAATGTACTATCTTAACCATTTTTAAGTGTACAGTTCAGTAGTGTTAAGTGTATTAACCCTGTTGTACAAATATTCCAAAAATTTTTGGCCATGTAAACTTGACACTATATACCCATTAAACATCCCCCCCCCCCACCATTCCCCTCTGGTAGTCCCTGGCAACTGCCATTCTACTGTTGGGCTTTGTGATTTTGACACTCTAGATACTTCATGTAAGTGGGATCATGCAGCATTTGCCTTTTTGTGAGTGGGTTATTTAACTTAGCATAATATCATCAAGGTTTATCCATGTTGTATCGTGTCAGAAAATCCTTTTTAAGGCTGAAAAATATTCCACTGTGGGCATACATTACATTTTGTTTAATCATTCACTTGTGATGCACATTTGGATTGCTCCCACCTTTTGGCTATTGTGAGTAATGCTGCTGTGAATGTTGGTGTGCAAATATCTCTTTAAGACCCCATTTTTAATTCTTTTGGGTAGGTACTCAGAATGAGAATTGCTGTAAAATAATTTTGGTGTAAAATAATTTTGGTGTCTAATGAATGTAGACATTTTCAATGCAGTGGGAGAAAAAAGGGTTTATCACATTATTATTATATAGGATGGGTGTTTGAAGTGGCACAGAAAATCTTGATGCAATGAGGAGTTTTGAAAGCTCATTTTAAGCTGTTTTGCTAATTAAAACTTGATGCTAATTAAAGAAAGGAGATATTAAAAAAAAGTTTTCCAAATATATTACGTCACTACTACATTGGTAACAGTATACTAACCTAAGACTAGTTCACTTTGTTCTGCACTCCAATTTGTAAATATTTCATATGAGAGAAAAAAATTAAGGCAGGTAAGCAGACGATATAAACATATGTGTCATAAAATAACACTCTGGATGAATTTCCCTTGCTCTTTGCCTAAAAATGAACCAAAGGGGTCACTTGGTTCATGTATATTCCTAGCCAGGTCATAATTTCAGGATAACTGTAAAATTTAGACATAAAGTCCACATATGCTCATTTTAATTCTTGGCAGGTATCACAATGTTTAGTGACCTGTATTGAATCAATAGGAAAAAAACCCAGAAAATAAAGATATTATTAGCCATATTGGCTCTCAACAGACTTGTATGCTTGCTTAAGTATTGGTTTCATTAAAATTAAGCTAAGAAAAATATATTTTTCCAAATCTGTTAAAATTACCTAATTCTACAAATACTCAGATATAATTGAAAGATCACCATCTATTATAGTTCTAATTGTTAAGATTGAAATATATTATTGTTTTCCCCCCTTAGGGAAACATCTGATAAACTGAAAAAAACAAAAACACCTATAACTGTATGCAGACATTTCAGGTCAAGTAGATCTCATCTTTCCAGGTCAGTCAGAAATCCTGACACCCAGAAATAAAAATATGCAGAAGAGCATTTTTTAAATGTGTCTCCAAGTCATAATCGGACCAAATAGATAGTTGTAAACAAATGTGATGGCTGCTCAGCTGAATACCTTGAAAGGCTGGCCGTAAATTTGTCCATTCAGGAAGAAAAGTTGTCCCTGAAAATACTCAATGAATCTAGATATTATATGTGCATATGCTTTCGCCCTAAGTTCAAGAAACATTCAACCCATTGCAGGGGTACTAGAAATGTTGTGTTATGATTGTGGTCATTGTTGACTCAATACATTTTGTACACCTCATGTATTTGTACACTTCAAATTTCTGAAATGTACTGTATGTAAATTATATCACAATAAATTTTTATTTAAAAATGATGTGACAGATGACAATCAGAAATTTTGGACAAACTAGGGCAGATATATAATCAGTCTATGAGATGAGAAAGAAAATAAAAAGAAAAAGAAAGACATTTTAAATATTAAAGTAACAGCAAGCTAAGTTTGGTAGTAAAATGTAAATAATCAGGAAGAAAGACATTGAAGCCCAACAGAAAAAGCAGGCTTTATTCAAAAATGAATAGTCATATCAAAACAAGATTGATGGAGCATATTTTTTATTTCCTTCTAGGTCTTGTTATTATAAGTCTGCAGGGAGTATATTACACATTAAATTTTCAGAAAAGGTTTCCAGAGTGCTGAAGGCAGCGGCTTGCCTGGCCGACAACGCAGCCGCAGTGCGACCGACATCAGGGGGCCAGGACGAGGGAAGCCGTCCCAGCCGGACTCCTCACAGGGTGTGTGATGAGGTCCAGGACGTCTGCTGACACATCGGGTCCACCATTCATTAACTAGTACACACGTTTAACTTTATTAAGTTTTTTTTATGTTATTTTTATTGTAATTCATGATGGGTTTGAAGTTCACATTAATTCTTGTATGTTTTGAAATTGTCAGGGTCATTCTTAAGTCGACAAGCAATTTTCTCAAGTATGTATCAAGCTGATCATTGACTTTATATTTATTATATATGTTAATAATTCTGGTTATATGATTTGATTTTATCACTATTGTTGTGAAGTTGGTGGCTGTGTTTAAGTGTGGACACCAAGAACCTGGGCAATAAATTATTTATTGCTTTGCTGTTCAACTTTTAACACTTCAATAAATCTCCAAATTTAAAGATGGTGCACTGCCATCAGCTTTGAAAATTTTTATTCCAGCTTTCCATTGTGGTGTTTGTCCTGGGATTACCATTCATTACTGATCTATAAA